CTTTTTTGTACTAGATTATTAATTGACGAATGAATTGATATTAAAGTGATATTGTTTCGTGTTAAAAATGTTAAATCAAAATTTATAAAAAATCTTCATATTGAAAGATAAAAATATAAATTCAGCCAAAATAAACGTGTTCGGTAGTAGGAAGCTCGTGAGCATCCAAGAGTCGAGCCCTAACTCAAAATAAATAAATAAATAAACAAAACCAAAAAATTAAATTTTATTATATAACAATCTCAGTCAATTATAAAATATATGTATATAGTATATATTAAAAAAAACTATATACTATAAAAAATATTTATATTAAAAAAAATGAATAAATAATTAAACACGTATTATCATAATTCGTGTTTTACGAAACACGTATTATCAGAATTCGTTTTTATTTTAATATAAAAAAAATGAATAGATAATTAAACACGTATTATCATAATTCGTGTTTTACGAAACACGTATTATCAGAATTCGTGTTTTGTTTAATTAATTAGCTTAATTACGAGATTAAGTGAACGCGTATTTTGGTAATCCGTGTTCCCTTCATAATTAAAAGAACACGGATTTTTGGAATCCGTGTTCGTAGTAAAATTACACATACACGGATTTTCAAAATACGTGTACCTTTAAAACACGGATTGTGAGAATCCGTCCGTTTTATTTTTGTCCACAATTTTTTTTTTTGTTTTATTTTAGTCCACTTATTTTTTATTTTTTTTAAATAAATAAATGATTCCAATTTAGTGATTTAGGATTAATGATTGTAAAGTTATGTCTTGAAGTTATTTAACTGTCAACAACAATTATTATCTTTGTGGAAGAATGTTACAAAATATATCAGTACCATAGTACTAGTTTTTTTCTAATAGTTTGATTATTTTTTAATAAATTTAAACATTTTTATTATTATATACATAAATATAATATTTAATATTATAAATATATATTTTTGTTGATGGAAACAGCCTCCTTGTATAATTACAAGGGTAAGGTCTGCGTACAACTGACCCCCCAGACCCCAACCTGTTTGGGAATATACTGGGTATGTTGATGTTGATGTTGATGATATTTTTGTTGAGTTGGGATCATATGAGAAAAAGTCATAGTGAAAGAAATGAGAATGAATTATAATTTATAGCCATTGGATGTGATATATCAATGCTCTAGATGCGGTCAAAGGGTCCAACTTTAGTCAAACACGCGGTGGCATTACTGTAAATAAGTGGACTTTTAATTTTTCACGCAGGGGTATTTTAGTCACTGCACAGAATGAATTGTTACGCTAAAGTGCAATATGAAGAACACTAAAGTGCAACGCGTCTATCAATAAGTTGCAGTCTGTTGAACTGTTATTTTTAATGTGCATATTAAAATGTTATATTGTGCAATGAATTGTGCATTAATGTGCAACGCGTCTATCAATAAAGTGCAATATGTAGAGTTGTTATTTTTAAAGTGCATATTAAAACCTATATTGTGCAAGGCATTGTACATTAATGTGCAATTATTAAAATTTTATTAAATTACAAATTTGACCCATAAACTAAATTGTAATATATTAAAAACTCAAAAATTTCAATTAAGTCTCTAGGACTTATCAAATTTTCAAAAATCACCCTACCCCAAATGAATTTTCCTCCTGCAAATTTTCGGACATCAACCGTCTACATGTTTTCGGCGGGTCCAGCCGGACTACGGGAAGAGGCAATCGGATGACGTTGATTTCGCAGTTGATGAGTCGACTTCAATTTTGACGGTTTGTAGAAGTCGCGCGGGCCGGCGAGGTGGCCCGACCGATTAGATTTTCAGGATGAAGACGGTGAAGGCAACGGAGCCGTCGATTATATTTTTTTGGTTGCCAATAGATACGATTGAGAAGTCCTCGATTACCAGGTTGCTTGGACGGGAAAGATGGCGGCGGCGGCAGAGGCGGAAGGCGGAAGCGGAATTCTCTAAGCTCTTTGTCTTCTC